CCCTCCAATGTCCTCCTGAGGTGTATACAGCAGCAGGAGCTCCCCTCCCACCCCACAGCCCCTGGACAATCCATGGTTCCATCTCACACCCAGCCTCTGACCCTGCCGCACTCCCTTCCTCATTGCAGGGAGCTCAGTACACCTCCCAACACCCCTTCCCTCCCTCCTCCCCGTCCACCACAACAGACTTACCAGCTGCAACCACTGTATCAGAAATAGGATTGGTATCGGCCGATATGCCTCCTTAAAAATCAGCTATTGGTATCAGCCCCTAGAATATCTGTTGGTGCACCCCTAATTCTCAACACTGGCAAGGAGGTGAGTGATATCCACCCTTCTCTTGGCCACCCACCCCAAGTCCTAATTTGAAAGGCTAGGGTTCTCCCTGGCTTCCATTAACTGTAACAGGTAATTCTGCAGATTGCCTTTATCCGTTAATTTTACTGTTGTTATGATGCCATGCCATGAATATATAAGTTTTTTAGCAAGTTTAATAGTAAATTATTTTGCCTTGTAGGTGTACACTCGAGAAGATCTGGGGTATCATGGTACAGTAGACGGGTAAGAAATGAAAGTGTTTGCAAACATCTTACCCCAAGGCAGGTTTTACTTTTTATGTTTTACAGTGTTTCAGAAATTTGTTAAAAGAAGAATACATTTCTCTGAAAATAAAGCCAATAAATCAACTGAATATGTCCACATTCCAGAATGAATCATTCATTTTAATCTTTCTCAGACTTTTCAACTATCTGATGTGAGCTATTGAGGCACTCATTTTTAGCAGTAAGAATTTCTGTGAAATTCCTATGGGTAAATAAAAGGCCTGGGAGATGGAATGTATATGTATTCCAGTCTCCACATGGGAGAACTACACAGGTAAGCTTTCCAGACGGGACACTACAAGACTGCTTCTTGGTCACCTCCAAGTTTTGAGGAGCTCATTGATTGACAGCCTAGCCTCTACCCTGCCTGGGAATACCAATAGGTATTCAATATACAGTATTCAGTAGGCAGTTCTACAGCTAGAAGCATGGGGAACCGGAGCCAGGAAGAGCCTCCCTGAATCTGGTTCCCGGCCTGCCAGCTTTTAAATCATCATGTTTAGTCCATCTGAACTGCACACAAGTGTTGAAAAGCCAGAGGTGTGGGTAAACAGAGGCTTTCCCTGGCCCCACTTTTCTTTTGTCACAAATGTCACTTCTGTCCTTGTCCATAATCAACCATGCACCCTTAAAAGTACAAAAAGTAGTAGTATTGTAATTGTGTTGAGGCCAAGCACTGCAAACACAGGTTACACTTCAGAGAAATCCAAAATGTTACTGTGGCCTTGACTTTGAGTTCCCTTGGTTTGTGACCAATATTTGTCATAGTTTCATAGTAGTTAGGGGCTGGAAGGGACCTTACAGATCATTGAGTCCAGTCCCAAAGGTAACTAAAATATCTGTCATGGCTTCTCTCAACTTTGACTCCCCCTCTTTTCTGGGAATTTCCTATAAGGTGTTAGTGATCATGTACGACTTTCCTGAATCACAAGTAAGAAACACAGCATGTTGCCATGAATTATTTTTAATAATCTGAAGGTTTGTAGTAGTTGCCTTATGTGCTTTGTATGTGTGTTTATTTTTACTAAGCAGTAATTTTCAATGATCTACCAAGGCAGTTTGACGGGCTTCATCCCTTTTTTTCTTATCTTAGATTTACATAGTAAGTTCTTTGGGGAAGAGACCAGCTTCTTTTTGTGTAGTGACTGCATCTGTGGGGCCATGATCAAATTATTGGAAATCTTCCATCAATCAGCAATATATAACAAATTTTAAATATCTTGGGTCAACCACTTTGGGTGTATGAGGATCTGAAAGAAAGTTGTTTAGTGAGCTTCTGTCTTGCATTCAGAACCACAATTTTAAAGTTCCTTTCCTGGTGGTTTGCTTTGCTTTGTTTTGTTTATTTGATGGAGGAGGGGTTATCTAACCTACTTAGACACTTTTGGAAATCCTGAGAGGCATTTTTTGGCACCTATATACCCTTGTAACATTGGTGCTTAAAGCTCACACTACACACTTCTAATACAAGTCTTTTCACAGACTTCTAATAAAACCATGAATGACTAGAGTTTCTGTTTCTCATATTTCTAAAATAAAATAAAAGCAGGGGGAAAGAGGAAAGGCCTTTAGGCCATTTTCATATGCCTTAAGGCAAAAAAAATAGGCGGTCTTTGAATGTTGCATTTAAACTTTAAAGCAATATGAAAAAAAGAAATGTAACATACAGGCTGCTTGCAGATGTAAAAAACCCAAACCACTTTAAACTTGGCACATTCCCATGCTGAGCCCTGCTCATGCCCAAAAGAGGCAGTGTATTAGTTCAACATTGTATAGTTCATGTGCTTTAGTGGGGCTTTTTTGGCACTTAGCTGATTGAATCCGCTTTAGATAAAAGTGCCAAAAAATTCCTCTAAAGCACTTGATCTATACAGATGCTGTGGTGTTGGATAAAGTAATGTGCTGCTTCTTCTGGTAAAGTGTTTTTTGGGAGGGAGGGGGGAGTTCACATCTGCAAGTGGCCAGAATGTTTTCTTAAGTATTTGAGTGACCCCATCCTTCAATTTTGTTTGCAAATTTTGTGGATTCCCCTCCTCCTCTTCCTCCCCATACATACCTAAGTATAGATGCAGCTTGTATGTGGACAGATGTTTTACTACAGCAATCTTGCACACTGTTTAGTTAAAATGATTTAATCTTAAACATTTATTACTAACTTTTTTTTAAACTAAACACTGACTTTGTTACAAATTGTTGAGCACAGAGGTTGTTACCCATGTTAGTCTGAAGTCAGGCATCAGGTAAGGCAGTGTGACGCCTTAGAAAATAACTGGTTAAGAGAGCCATGACATTTCATGGCAACAAATTACTTTGTTAGATGCGACCTCAAGGTATTCCTTGAAGTTACTGGCTTTATCTCTCAAACCAAACCACCTTCATCTAACTTTTATCACTTCTAACTGTGGTTTAGTTTGGGATTCCTAGAACAAAAAAAATGCCTGTTGATCAAGATTGGAGCAGCGTTTACCCAACTGCAGCAGCATTTAAGCCTTCTGCAGTTCCACTTCCCATTCGAATGGGCTACCCAATGAGGAGAGGAGCACCTCCATCAAAAGAGGGCAACTTGGAGCTTATAAAGGTAGGAATTTATTCATTTTAGTTGATCTTGAAAATCAAGTCACAAAAGTAAATGCTTGGTGGTATGGGTAGATATTTACTGTTTGATATATTAAATATATGAGAAAAAGGTGAACATAGTTCATTCTAACATAGCCCTGCACCAAAGTAGAAATATAAATGAAGCCAATCAGATTTGTTTTGTTCATCTTTGTAAAAGGCTTGCATAGGGCATTGATGTTTAATTAAACTTACATTAGATCAAAGGTAGGAAAAGACACTTGCATAATAATCCTCTTCCTTGATTCTCTGATCAATTTTTTTTATGCATAAAAGAAGTATTGAAAATGTGATTGGATTTTGTTTGAGCTAGTTACTGCCTGGTCAAGGTAGAGTCCACACACATCAGTTTACAAATAAAATATTTTTTCAGATTCCCAATTTTTTGCATCTTACTCCTGGTGCAGTTAAGAAACACTGTGCAGCTCTTAAAGGTGAGTTCTTTTGCATTTTCTTTCATTTATCTTCTTTTCTTTGCATTTTCTTGCCTCCTTGTCTTAAGATAGAGGTTGGCAACATTTTGTCTCCCAGGCCAAAGCTTGCAACCTCACTCCCTGCCACGAGCTCCTTTCCATCCCCAAGAGAATTTGAGGTGCCTGCATCGTCATTGCAGATATCTGCCCCTCTGCAATGAGAGTACAGTAAATGCTGGTAAGAGAGTTTTAGGGAGGGCTGAATAAGAGTGCTGTGGAGGGGGCATGCACCTTGGTGCAGCTCCATACCACCTGATTTCACATGCCAGATCTCACCTGGGGTTGTATATTGCCAACCCCTGAGATGCTCCATTCCACAATACAATAAGAAAATGACCCACATCTAAAGCTGGAATTTATCAGACTTCGCTGTCAGTATTGTCCAGTATCCTATTTTGTGGTCTCATTGTTTCTTATTTCATTCAATTTCATAAGTCTGCATATTCACTTTTTTCCCCCTCTAAGGAAGTTGGGGTTAGCTCAGGTGACTGGCTATAGGCAGATTTTGCTTGTGATGTGCTAGCGAGACTTTTTCTGTTAGGTCTAGGTAATGTTGGGAAATGAATGAATCCAGTGTCTTAATAAGAATGGGGCTTGGATGCAACTCAGTGATAAGACTAGGCCTGGTTTACACAGCTTTCTTTAACTGTTATATCTGTGTCAGTTAACTGCAGTTTATTCACTGCAGCTATATTGGTACAACCCCCATAATGAACACAGTTTTCATAGATTTTCATAGACTTTAGGGCTGGAAGGGACCTCGAAAGATCATCGAGTCCAGCCCCCGCCCAAAAGGCAGGAAGTCAGCTGGGGTCATAGGATCCCAGCAAGATAAGCATCCAATTTGCTCTTGAAGGTGTTCAATGTAGGTGCTTGAACTACCTCCGATGGCAGGCTGTTCCAGACCTTATGTTGAGCCTGAAATGGTCTTGTAGCAGTTTATGACCATTCAACCTCGTCATCCCTTGGGGCGCTCTGGTGAACAAACGTTCCCCCAGATCCTGGTGGTCACCCCTGATAAACTTATAGGTGACCATCAGGTCACCCCTGAGCCTGTCATCGTAAGGTCTGCTTTCCTGATCTCTGATCATGCGCGTGGCTCTTCTGTG